GCAACTACTGAACTCCTTGCCAATGAGGCATGAAACCAGCCATGGAAAATATATAAATGAATGAGCATGTCTATATTCCAATGAAAACTTTATTTATAGTCATTGAAATTTAAATTTCATGCGTCACAAGATATTCTTCTTTTTTTCCAACCATTGAAATATGTAAAAGCCATTCTTAGCTTTTGGGCTGTACAAAAAAGGAGGCAGACTGGCTTTGGTTCATGGTTCATATTTTACCGATCCTTACTCTAACACATCAGTCTTTTTCCAAGCTTAGGCTTTTGCATGTGCTGACCTGTCTTGGAATACTCCTTTCTAAGATTTTCACATGGTTTGTACCTTCTCTTCAATTGGGTTTGAACTCAGATATTACCTCCTTAGAACAGCCTTCTCTCATCACTGTACCCAAAATAGTACCTCCTATTCTGAAATACATTATCCCTTTATATTTTCTTTATAGTACCTCTCACTGTCTGAAATTCTGTCCATTTATTTGTTTACATGTTCATTTGGTGCCTCATTTCTACCCTCACTAGACTAGAATCTGAATGAATCGGGGATCTTGCCTGTCTTATTCTCTTCTGTATGCCCTTACCTAGAACAGTGCCTGGCAGATGACGGATGCTCAATTAAATATTTGTTGAATTTGAGTTGAACGGTTACAACTCAGTATTTGGGGGCTTGATAAGAACATAGAAGGCTACTCAATTTATAGTTTTTGAATTAGAGAAAGATAATAAAAGCAGAGGAAGAGATTGAGTCATCATCTGCACTCGGAGAAGCATTCATCCTTCTATTATTTCCCTGTGTTTCAAGCAAAAGCTGAAGGAAAGAGTCTTCTTGTACAACTGTGACGATATTTTCTTCTTTTGGCTGATATAAATAACTTACCTTGCCTGTTTGGAGGCAGGAAAGGGGAAATAGCCTTGTTGAGGAGGGAGAACATCATCATGGCGTTTGTAAAATAGTGTTTGGAAGCTAGGTTACTCTAGAGCACTAAGATATGACTTCACAGAATTTCCCAAGATCTCTGAGGGGAAATGGTAAAGGTCCTGGGTGGAACCGTAATGACAGAGATGACAGAGCTGGAAGTAACATCAGGCTGAGCTTGTCATCAGGAGGGAGGGAGGCAAAAGCAGCAGCAGGTACAACAGTTGGATCAAGAAGGCTTGAGTTTGGACAGAGTGTTCTGGTGGTGTTGGGTGGTGGCCAGAGCACAATAATTTGGCATTGGGCTTTCTAAGCCTAGGGACAGAATTGGCTTCTATCCAGTCCTGCCTCTAGTTATTAAAACAAACAGATTGGTAGGGTAGAAAGAGCCCACTGTAGGTAAATATAATGAACAGGAAATGTTCATGGGAAACAGTGAGGGATATAGCCTAGTGGACCTTGGAAGTTAGAAGTTTGTGAGTTCATTGAGTTCAAGTGAGGGCTAGAGCTCTGTGACAATGAGAACACAAAGGAGAAACAGAGCATGAAACTGATATGAAAGGTGACAAGAGGCTGACCTGAAGATACTGAGCATAGTGTAGATTGCATTATAGGCCAGCTGGGCTAAGGAAGTGACTATAATTTTAGACAGTTGATTTCCTGTAGGTGAATGAAGCAGAAAAAATAGAGATGGAATTATTTCTCTCATTTGGACTTTTTGGCCAAAGGTTATGTGGCCAAAGCTTAAAAAAGAAATTTATTGACTTATATAATTGAGAAGTGTAGCAATGTGCTAGCTTCAGTTATGGCCAGATCAAGGATCTCAACAATGTCTTTGATACTTGGTCTCTCTTTCATCTCTCAGCTCTTGTTTCCTCTGAATTAGCTTCATTCTCAGATAGGCCCAGTGATATAGTGACTTGCTTTAGCTCCCGATGTATATCTATCTGGCTTCAAGTTCAACAAAGAGTACTTTTGGCTTAGTTGCTCTAGCAAGTCTAAGAATTCTGTCTCATTGCCTCTGATTGGGTCACATGTCTGGTTCCTTTTTAAGGGTGAGATGCCTATTTAGATATATAGGCAGAGTCTTCAGTAGTCAAGTTGTGTATACCTATCTGGAGTTCAGCGGAGAGGTCAAAACAAGGATAGATATTTGTAGGTTGTTTGTGTGCAGATGGGCCATGAGGCAGGTTGGGGTCATCTAGGAAGTGTGTGTGAATAGAGATTTGAGAATCAGCCTGGGATGGTCCAGTGTTCAGAGAGTGGGAAAATGAGGAGGAATCAGCAAAGGAAACTGAGGAGGAAACAATGAGAAAGGAGACCTAGGAGGCAGTACGTGGGTAGGTGAAGGAAGATTATTGTGCCTGAAGGAAGAAACAAACTACCGAATTCTAATTTGCCCCAAGTTTCAGTCAATAGTATATTTCTCTCTCTCTGGACATATTTTTTTAGCCTGGGGTCACTCAGCTGCCATGTCTTCCCTTTTTCCTTCCCTTAGAAATTCTTAGTCCATGTGGTCCAAAGGCTTCAGTTCTGGGTCTGTTTGGTCACAAATTTCACTAGTTCTCTTTTCCTCCTATGGCAGCTGCAAGGTCAATTCACTTTCCTTTTTGCACTTCTAGGGAAAGCCTGAAGCACTGAGTGTCTGCTAGGGCTTTCCATCCATCTATCCATCCATCCATCCATCCATCCATCCATCCATCCATCCATCCATCCATCCATGAGATAGTTCCTGGGAATTTACAATGTTCAGGCATTGTTCTAGGCACTGAGGATACAGCCATGAACCCTATAGTCTTAGCACTGTCTTTGCCAGCAGGGAGTTTACATCTAGTTAAGTAGGGTTTGGGGAGAGGGGGACAATGTGTGTGTGGGTTAACAGATGAACAGAATAATTTCAAATTGTTATGCCTGCACTGAAGAAAACTATCAGGGGTCTAAGATATAGAATAACAATGGAGACTAAGAGTGGGAACTACTTAAATTGGGAGGGCAGGGAATCTTCTCTGAAAAGTTAGATCCTGATGGTTCCAAAGTAACCCTCAATTTTTTTTCTTTTTCGAGTCCTGAATTGAACCTGCATTCCAGTTTGTAGAACCTCCCCCCCATTCCCTCGCCCTGCCCCCCCACAGGCTCTTGATTTCTTCCTTGCTTACCAGAACAAAAGAAGAAACCTACCTCCTATTCTATCTCCACGTGAGCACCTACCTTTACGATTCATAGTATTACTATAAAAATCAGTTCTTTAACAATTTTATCTAACATCTGTCAGAGGAAACAAAAGATTATAAAAATGAAATTTGTCAAAGTTCATCTTCCAACAACATGGTTAGTAACCACCTAATATAGCTAACATTTTTGGGGGCAGGAGAGAGAATAGTTATTACAGTGCAGACACTGGTTTAAGTAATCATTTCATGTGCATCCCAACATTTGAATCTTCACAACAGCCCTGTGAGGTGGGTAATATTATCATCTCCATTTTACACTAAAAAAACCCCTGAGCCTTAGAGAGATTAACTGTTACACAGGTCCCACAGGTCACACAGGTCCCATATGGCAGAGCTGAGCATGAGTTTATAACCCATGCCTGCTTTCAAGTCTAAATGTGTAGATACAACCAGCAAATAGATCACATTCATTCATTAATTCATGCATGCATGCATGCGTGCATATATTTAATCAATCAATTTCTCCAAGGCCTTCTCTGGCCCCGCCAAGTTATTGACTCCTTCATGTTCCCAAGCACCCAGGCCTTCTGCTATTCTAACTTATCACACAGCATTGTTATTGCTTGTTGCTTCTTTCTCTCTCACTGACCAGCATCAATCAAGTTCATTCTGTTATATTGCTTGTATCCATAGTATCTAGCCTGGTGCCTACACATAGCAGAGTTATTTAAAAAAGAAAAGAAAAAAAACGAACAGAAAAACCACATAATTGAAGGAAAGCTGCTAGTTCCTGGACAAACAATTTATTCAAGGACAGCCCCTATCCTCTAGGAGTCCACAGTTCAGTTGTGGTGAGTGAGATCCAGCCTGACAGGTACAGTGGTGAGTGAGCTGACTGAATTGATTCCTCTGGTGGAACACAGGGACAGCAGGGCAACACATTGAGCGTGGGAGATGGAGAGGGGCACCTGAAAGAATCCATTCATTTATTCCACAAATACTTATCAGTCTCTGTAGCACACTTAGCACATGGTAAGCTCAATGTTATTAAATGCCAGCCACTGTTCTAGGTGTTGAGGATGCCTCAGTGCACAAGAAAACTGAGGTGGCCTTTTTCTTGCGAAGCTCACCGTGTAGCGAAGGACGACAGGCAGTGGGCGAAAATATGTAAAATAGTGTTAGATGCCCAGTAGGAAAACAACAGGCAGCTGAAATTCTAAGGATGTTAGATCCTTCGGAGGAGGGCCCCTGTGGGCGGGTTTTGGGCAGGAGTGGTTGTGACGCGGAGGGACTGTAGGGGGCGGGAAGACTGCAGTCAAGAAGAGCTGGTAATTTTAAGATGCAAATATTTTCTGCCTGACTGCAAGAAAAAGCGTGTGCCTAGGGTCGACATGGTTGCTTGGTGCAGTCGGGGTTCTCCTGGGGCAGGGGCTGCATTTTGAATGCAACCTGCCCAGCTATGCAGGGCGGGCAGAGGGGAACGGTAGCCCTCATTCGCAGTATTTTTGTGCTCAGCACATCTAGGCTCCTCCGCTCCCCAGACCTGCAGACGCCGCAGATTGGGCTCTGAACCGGACCGCAGCAGGCAGGGAAGAATGGGGGTGGCGGGGGTCCATGCACCGCAGCAATTACCCGCAAGGATCAGGATCGGCAACACCTCGAGGGCGGGAGGGGGCGGAGCTTGTGCTGCGGACCTAGGCGGTGGCGCGGGCCCCGCCTTCTACCTGAGGCCCCGCCTCCAGGTCCCGCTGATTGGGTCAAGGCCGCGGAAGGGTCGGGCGTCCCCGGGAGGCCGAGGGGGGGGTTCGGCCTGAGGTGGGCGCGCTGATTGGTCCGGCTGGGATTAGGTCATCGCTAGCAGGTTCGAGCAGCCCGGACGCCCGCGGGGTGGCGGAGGCTGCTGTGAGAGGGCGCTCGAGGCTGCTGGAGAGCGAACAGGCGAAAAGAGGCGGGGAGGCGGCGGCCGCGCTCGCTCTCCAGCTCGCTGGCTTCCCGGCGCCCCTGTAAGTGCGCCGCTGAGCTTCCTGCTCGCCGGCCGCTCCGTGGCGCGTCGCCGGAGCAGCCGCCCAGCAGCCAGGTCCCGGCTCGGTTTGGGAGTCGTGCGCGCAGGGGGACACTGCGCGGGGGGCGAGCCGGCGCCACACCTGTGGAGCCGACGGCCGTAGTGGGTGCCAGCCCGGGTCCCACTGCGTGTGTGCTGGGGGCAGCGGGTCGCCCGGTCCCCGGGGGAGGTGCGTCCCCCGGCTGGGCGCCTTGGGCACTATGGGGCTCCCAGCACTGGAATTCAGCGACTGCTGTCTGGACAGCCCGCACTTCCGAGAGACGCTCAAGTCACACGAAGCGGAGCTGGACAAGACCAACAAATTCATCAAGGAGCTCATCAAGGACGGAAAGTCCCTCATCAGCGCGCTCAAGAGTGAGTGCCCCCCGAGCCCGGCAGGGTAGGGACCCCAGGGCGGGAGGGGCCGTCGGGCGTTGCTCAGCCCTGGGCGTCCGTGCACCGGCTGGTTTTCTGTCCCCGGGGCGCTGAGGGACGGGCGTAGGTGCTTTTAATGAGGCGGAAAAGGTACGTAAAATGGGTGAGCCAGCCACAATCCGATAAAGAAAGAGATCGGTCCCCCTGCTGTTTGCTTTCTGAGATGGTCGGGAGGTGACCGAGGGCAAGTGGTGCTCTGGGCCACCACGGATGAATGTGCGCGGCACACAGGTGTCCAGGGAGTAAGGACTGTAGTTTCTGGCGCGCCGCAGCCTGT